CCCCCGCCTCCCCGCGGCCCGAGGGCGCCGCTCTTAAAGGGGCGATGGCGGGTGGGGCCTCCGCTGGGAGGGCTGGACGGGCGCGCACGCGCAGTGCCCACTGCGGGGGGCGGGGGCGGGGCTACACATCAACCGGATAGGAACAGCCGTCCGAATCGCTGTACGCCCGGGGACGCAGCCACACGGTCGCAGCCACGCTCCCAGATGCAGAGCCCTTCCCAAGCAAGCCCAGCAGCTACGACTCCTCCCAGCCCCAAAAGATCCGGGCACTCACACTGATGGCACCCCACGGAGCCACCCACACTCGGCGCTGTGGGAACTCACGCACACGCTGCTGTATCACAGCTCCGACAGTGACCCCGAGCAGGACACGCAGAATCTTGGCCACCGCGCACCCAGGTCTGAGCTAGAGGCTGCAGTGGTGGCAGGGGTCTTCCGGTACCCTGGGCCGAGATCACATTCCCCGGGAGTCTCCACGCGCTGGGGTCGGCCTGAGTCCCCAGCCGGCTGCACGCTCCACACGCGAAGGACAGAGACACACACGTTTGGGGGGCCTAGACCCTTTGAGCTGCCCTGCGCCGTCCCACCGTCCCGGTGCCGTCGTAGGCGCTGGCCGGGTCCCGCTGCCTGGCTCGGCGCAGCCCATGTCGCCGGCTATAAATGGGGACCCCCACCTTTAGTGTCCTCTCGCGGGAGCTAGGGGCGCCCCATTCCCCCTACTGTGCCCAGGGGACAGAGGCAGGAACCCCACGGAGCCGGATGCCTGGGAGCGGGGGATCAAGGGTCGCGTGGGAATGCGTGGGCAGAGCTGGGCGAGGCGGTGAATGCGATCGCTTGACACGGAGTGCCCGCTAGCGTGTTATAAAAACGTAGTTCTTGTGTATAAGCGCGTGTCCATCGTTGAGGAGTGGCTGGTCCCCAAGTGCACGGTCACTGTCCCCGGGGCAACTGTGCCTGGCCCGGCTGCGGCGGTTGCGCGTCCGCGGTGGTCACTCGGCGTCGGGTTGCGTGCACGAACGCACGTGCATGTGAGTATGAAAGTGCGCGTGCAAGTGAGGGTGTGCGCCTCGCGGGGGTGGACGGTCAGCGCCCGGGAGCCGCATCGCGTAGCTGTCGCTCCCG